ATGTCCAGTAATATACATTAGGTATTTCTGACCAAGGTTATCCATGAATAATGCTTTGAAAAATACTGGACTACAAGATGTAATTGTTAATACAGAAGATAATTAAGACATAGAGAATAAACATCTGAAAGCTTTTTTCTAATATTAAAATATTTATCAAATTTGCTTTAGAATCATGATACAAACATTTAGTCCGGTATATGAAGTGACACAACATCCATAATAATCATCAAAACCATCCTCACTCAGTTTTTCACTAGAAACAAGGATACTCACTACTGTTTCCTATTTTAAATCAGGAATTTGCCAAATCTTCAGATCAGAAGAGTAATAAAGGTAAACGATAAGAGGAGTTTTTGTAATCTATTTTTCCAGAAAAACTAATGCAGTTCTGAGCCATGAATTGGCTTTCTCTATTGAAATAGAAGATTAAAGCTAAACAGTTACAAATCCAATTAATTTTTGATTTACTTTCATGCTTGGGTGATGATCCGCGATATCAGATTATATCAATATCACTTATATCTAAAGGAATCTATTCACATAACATATGGCAGGCACTTAAAAACACACACAGTCCAAATTGAGATAATATATTCTTATTTTCACAAAGATCTTCCCAAACTGTCTCTAAACTGATACTTAAGCCATGAGTTTATAAATATGAAACATAACCCAAGAATTCGTTATAAAAAAATAAAAGAATGAAAATAGCAAGTTCTATGAACCACTATGAAAAACCATCTCATTAATTTATAATTATGTGGTATACAATTTTGTAGGACATACAAAAATAGTACTAAAATAAGATAGAAAATAACCTAGAAAGTACACATAATAACAAAATAAAGGAAGGCAACTTGAGAATATGGTTACTAGGCAGTAGATCTAACAATATCAGTCATCTGTTCAATACAGATCCCACTTAGAATCCAAAGCACTATTTGGCATGCCTCATCAGGGATATAAACTGCACACAGGTATATTAATTCTTTCAATTATAATTTGTTAAGCACCTTCTATTTGCCAAGACATGGTATATCTGGTTAGGAGGAAACAAATCATAAAACAATTACCATCTCTTTCTATATGCTAAGTAGCAGACTCTGTCATGTTCTACATACTTTCTTAATTAACGTTAATATTACTTTAGCATATATGAATCTATGAAAAATGTAAAAGCATAACATAACTCAGAGAGAAGTATTTAAAGGATCTCTATTGCCTTCAGAAATTTTGAAGGTATAAGAAAAAATGTTTAATGTCACTGCAACAACGTAATGGAGAATAACCTACAGAAGCAACAGTGGTTTTTATTTCTGAAAATGAAGCAAGCGACCATAAAATTTAAACTCTGAAGATAATTCCAGGCATAGAGTAAACCAGCAGTTCTCAAATGTTTTAGTTTCAGGACCTCTGAACACTCATAAAAATTACTGAGAACCCCAAAGAGTTGGTTGTTTATGTCAGTGATGTCTGTTGATATTTGCCATACCACAAATGAAAAACGAATAATTTTAAATATTGATCAACAATTCATTTAAAAATAGCAATAATAAAGCCATTACATGCTAACAGAAGCAACATATTTTTATGGGAAGTAACCATATTTCCCAAAATTAAAAAATTTAATGATATGGGGCACTGTTTTACATTTTTACAAGTCTCTAGAACGTGTAGCTTAATAGCAAACAACTGAATTCTCATATCTCCTTTTGCAATCAATTTGTCTAGTCCTATCTGTTATTTTGTTTGAAGCATATAAACAAAAGCCAGCTTCACAAAGACATGTAACTGGAAAAGAAAAAGGATTTTTAATAGTCTTCTTAGATAATTGTGGGTATTCTTCCTTGATAAAATTTGACAAGTGGCAGTTTCTTAGAGTCTAGTTGCAATGTGGAAGCATACCCTATTACATTAAAATCCATTGGTTTACCTTAAAACTTGAATCAATCTTTTACCAATGCATGATTTTATAACAATATGCATTGGTTACTTGCAAAAACACTGGTTTACTAAGTTATACATATCTTCCAAATGTTGATACATTTCATTGTACAAAATAATCACACTGGTTACTATCACTAACAATCTTGTCTGAAAGTCTTGAAGTATTGGGAAGCAGTCAAGCTCATTTTGGCAAATAAAACTATTCCAAAATTCAAATTTTCATTTGAAAGACTGTATTTTTATCATCAGCAAGAACTACTCGTAGTTTTCCCTGCAATCACTGGCTCACTCCATTAATTTTCATAAAACTGTCTGCAAAATACCCAAGTCCAAATAACCAAGACTTGTCAGTCATTTTTTTTCAATTAAAAATGTTGTTCCAAGAGCAGATCAGCTAGTTCAACTCACAACTCAAAATCTGCACAGGCACTTTTCTCCAAGACAACTGTCATGTTTTGGTAATGCAACAGAAGTATTTTATTTGTGCTTCTCATTTTGTGATATGGAATATTAAAAAGACATGTATTCAAGGGTTGAGATTTTATAAAATGGACAGCTTTTACTACTTCATCAAAGTCATTCTTAAGTGAAATTAGCATTTTTTAATCTATGGGTATATGGTGGTGAATGATAACTGGTTCAGTTTGGTGCCACAACCTTGATTCATGCAAAAGCGCTAGCAGCTAGTAGTTTTGGCCACCATTATTTTTGCAGAGCAAATGTCAATAAAATGAAGACAACAAACAACATTTTAGTATTTTTGTAAAATTAGGTTTGACCTTGTAGACCCCTGAAAAGATCTCAGGAAACCCCAGGGATCCTTGAGCCACACTTTGAGAATGACTTCAGTAAGCAATCAATAAATATTGTTGTTGATGATAAAAATCTTTGAAAATTCCTGTCTTCAAATAAGACCAAGATGAAAATAGGAGTTCTATGCTTCTATTCTTAACATTTTCAGGAATGAAAATTCCGTAATCTTCCCATCAATCAAATTTCAATGTTTAATTTTTTAGACTCAACAACAATTTTCCTACATTAACCACCTACACATTTCCCTTTCCAATACAGATACATTCTATTTCTCTCCCACATAGGCTTAGAAAATAACCCATCATGTTTTCTTTTTCTTTCTAGCAGTTCTACTAGTTTAGGTGCTGTGGTCTACATAGGGAAGAAAACATCTGTTACCAAAGGCTTGACTGGCCCTGTTCAAGTTCAGAGATTTCCAGGAAGAGAAAAAGTTGAATAACTAGGTGGAGCTTAACCAACACCAACCAAAATTTACCAATGGAACTTATGAGACAAGCCAGCATTATGCAGTTTAACTGAATCTACGTTTGCCTAATATCTGAACTTCTATGTATCTTCTCATGTCTTGGTATTAAAATACATTCATAAGTTCCAACAAAGGTTTATTGAGTACCTATTATGTTCCACTCTCAGTGCAGGGGATACAATAATAAACAATAAGACTTTATTACACTCGGTGCTCTTTCATTTTTGTGGTGGAGGGAAATAGCCAGTAAATAAGTAGACATAAATAACAAAGGGAATTTAAGTGTGATCAAGGTTACAAAAAAAAAATTAAAACTAGGTGAATGAATGGAAGGTGATAAGCTGGGAGAAGAGGCTCAATTGCTTTAAATAAGCAAATCTTCACTGAGCAGGTGTCTTTGGAGCTGAACTTGAATGACTCAATATAAAGATCTGGAATAAAAGTGTTCCAAATACAGAGGCTAGCCAGGAGATTGGAACTGAAACAATGCAAGGCAGACTGAAACATACTGACTAAAGGGGAGAACGATACAAGAGAAGGTCAGAGTCATGGGCAAGGGCCAGATCTTGAAGGGAACTGAAAGGAATCTGACTTCAGATGGCACCACAATGGTTCCCACAACTTGATGGAAGCCATCTGATGGCAGACTATCTAATTGAAAGTATTATCATTATAGGTGAACATATTTCACATCATAGATTTGTATGATGTTTGTCCTCCCTAGTCTAGATTATTCTATGTCTCATGTAAAAAGGACCACCATTTGAAGATTTCTTGTGATTGTCACCAAAGCAAGGAGCTAAAGAAGCAATGGACACTCTCGAGAGCCAGGCATCCCAATTTAAGCTACAACGACATCTATGACCTCGGTACTTTTTCAAGCTCTACCCATCCTTGTTTTTCTTAATCACATCAATCTACACATACTCACAACACCCTTCTAAACCTATCAGAATCAACTTGCAAAGGGAAAGATTCTCCTGTTCCTTGGCATCCTTGCATGGACACTGAGCTGCTGCTGTCACATTCAACACCTGTAAAGTAGTTTTATGAGATCTCACATTACTGAACAGGAAACCAAGATGATTAAGAGTCTTTGAAAAGTTGGAAGGAACTGATAAGGACAGTAAAACAGCCAAATGAATTAAGCTGGCCAAGAAGGCTGATAAGAAAGGCAGTTACACCCAACAAGGAAAAATGTTGTAACTATTTAAGAATGTTTCGCATGTGAAAAAAAAAATTATTAATTAAGTTTCAATTACAATTATTCAAGCTTTCAATATATATTATTTCATTTACTTATATGGCATACAAAACAGTAGCCAAAAATAATTTACATGTGGAGTATAATTATGCATTCCTTAAAGTACATTAACTTTAAAGCTACTTGCTAATGTTTTGTTTGCTCACTTGTTATTACTCCTATCAGTACATTAAGCTGGTTCAAACTGTGAACTCATAAGAGCAAGGACCTAGTGATTTATATTTGCAAGCACCAGCTCTAGTATACTCCTGGACTTACAGTAAATGCTTGACCAATCTAACCAAATGAAAGAAAGCCCAGTTGCAAACAAATCAATCTACAATGAGCTTTTTAACTCCAAAATTCTCCAATGCTCTCTACTTACCTCTGGTATACAAGCTCCTGTGAAACCAAACAAGCCATTGGCATTATCACTTTTTTGTATTATTAACAAAGAAAGCCCAGTTGCAAACAAATCAATCTACAATGAGCTTTTTAACTCCAAAATTCTCCAGGCTCACTACTTACCTCTGGTATACAAGCTCCTGTGAAACCAAACAAGCCATTGGCATTATCACTTTTTTGTATTATTAATCGTGCTGTGGTATTTTCTGCAGAAATGCAAGCTCCTCCACATACAGAGACTAGTTTAAGAATGAACAGTTCTTCCCCTTCCTCTTCATTGTCATCTCTTGCAGAAACAATGAATGATTTGTTAGTTTCTCCCTGTCTAAACTCCAGATAGCCAGAAATGGGGTGTAAATCACTCTTTGCAGGCATAGCATGAAGTTCATAAATTTCTTCAAGAGTCAGTTTGCGCTCATAGGATCTCACATCTTGCATCAGACCTGTAAATCTGTCGTTGCCGTTCACCCCAGCCCCAATTCTCAGTATTCCGGGACCTGAAATTAGAGATGGGTTTAAATGCTACAATATCCACAAATTTCTTGTCTTAAATTACAATTGTAATTCAGAAAGTAAAACGGTGCTGTTGAAAGATATGGATAAGTAAAACTTTTACATAACTAGTATACAGTTAACCCTCCATATCTGTGAGGGATTGGTTTCAGGACCCTAGCAGACACCAAAATCTGCTGATGCTTAAGCCCCTTAGTTATCCCTCTGTATCAGGTGATTATTGAAAATACAATATTTTCAATCTGCAGTTGGTTGTGGATCCATATGGATGTGGAACCCGCAGATACAGAGGACCAACTGTACAATCAAATAAAGTTTATCTTCTATTATAAGAAAAAATGAATCTGTAATCACTGGGATTTACGATATTTTGTAGTAAAGAAATTGGTAACTATCTTCAAATCAGATGATATCTTTAAAAGTAACTTCTATCAGTCTGTTAGATAACATTTCTGGAAAGAAAAATAACTAAATATGTGCATACATATATACACACACATACGTATGTGTGTACATATAGTTGGATAGACATTTCTTCTATGACAGTTTTTAATTTACTTGCATGTCTAAAAATAAAATGATTCAACTCAGTCACAAATTAAAACTTCAGTATTACTCTTTTTTGAGAACTTCAAGGCTTGATGTGTTAGAAACTCATCTTGAGTCAAATAAAGTTATGAGAATTCAGCAAAAAAGTTTCTGTGGGCCAAATATATCTCTTTATCCAAACAACTAATGGAATGGATATAGAAAATAGAAGTACTTCTTCCCAAAAACGTCATATGCAAGTCTTAGAGACTTTTTAAAATAATAATAACAAGTAGCCCAACTATGTCACTGTATCTCAATAACAACCCTTTTCAGGATTTCACCAGTTCTCATTCTTTACTTGTTCCTTTTCTAATAACTCACTGAGATATTTATGTAAGACGAGAGCTTCGTGGTGATTCTGAAAAATAGTACAAGTACCATTTCTTACCTATAGCCTCAATAAAGGCAGTTTTACAAGTCTCTACTCAAGGCTCTTTTAGGGTAGTTACAAGTATCCTGCACATTATTACCATAATTGTTCTCATCCTACTACAGAGGCTACTTTTCTGCCCAGCAAACCGGAACCACTCCTCCACTGGAGCTCCAGATTGGGTGGGAAGTCCTATGATGTCTACGTTGAATTATCCGGCAACTGTAATGATATAAGCTCCCCTGATCCTCACAAAACCACATGTCCTGGGTCTTATCATCTAGGAAACTAACTAGAGTCAAAAATACACAAATGGTCACATCTCCTTTGGTTTTGCTTCTATGATACACTAAAAGGAATACTTACTTAGGAGTTAAAGGCTTAGATTCAAATTTTGTCTTCTCTGTTACTTGGCTGTGTGATGCTACCTAATTTATTTACTGACTCTGACCTCAATTTCCTTATCTATAAAATATTTAACACACTGAATTATTGTGAAGTCCAAATTGGGCAATGTATGGAAAATGCCTTATCAATGTAAAACACTATGCAAATTTGAGGCATTCTAAGCTCTCTGCTTCTATGACTAATTCTCTAGAACAAACATGATCATATTTCTCTAATTTTA